CGATGCACGTAAACTTGAACGACTACAGGAAAGGGGCTTGAGGGCCGTTTACAAGGACAAGCATGCTAGCTATACTCAGCTACTGGAGAGAGCCAAGTTTCCAACTGTAGCGAACAGGCGTTTACGAGACATCTGTATTCTCATGTATAACGTTAAACATAGACTATGTCCTAATAGCATCTGTAACATTTTTAACGAGCATATTTCTGCATACAACCTGAGACAATCAGATTTTTCTTCTCCTAGTTACAACACTGTTACTTATGGGAAGCACTCTTTGCGTTATGTAGGACCCAAATTATGGAGCAAACTGTCTATGGCTGACAGATCAGCCAAGACAATGCAGGCTTTTACAAACTATCTTCGCAAAAGGGATATAACTCGCTTAACGGACACCGGCTGTAACGGCTGCATCCTATGCTGCACATAATGCCCTTCAAGTCATTTATTATTGTATTAATATTAGTATTAGTATAGTTTTTTAGCAGTGTCCCCTAATTAATATGGTGTTTTTATTCCCAGGCTATAAGGTTTTTTGATACTTTAATAAAGTTCTCACTCACTCACTCACTCACACCCATTCCAATATACGGTTAGCGTGATGTCCCAACTGATTTCTTATGTGACTACAGCACATTTTTTGAACAATATGTAGTAATGGAGTACTTTATCGTTGTTTATAAGGCCTCATCTAAACACGAAGAGGGTTGGGAGAATTCCAGACAGTTATGCAAACCTGAGACTACGTCTCAGGTTTGCCTAACTTTCGAGAATTCTGCCAAGCCCCCGAGTGTTTAGATGAGGCCATGTCAACATGGAAAAAGTGCTCTATTGTTTTTATAAAATTAATTCTCAAAAATACGCGGGAATCTTAAACGTCACAACCATGTTTACATACTCTCATCTAAACACACCTATCGACCAATGAGAGCGCGCGTAGTAGCTCAGTTAAAGTGAAACAAACAGTGCTCTTATAGTGACTTTTATTCTGATGTTCAATAACTACCACAATTCCTGCAGGAATGAAAAATAAACTAAGCTGGAAGCGACTTGTTCTTGTCAATGACTACCCCTCGTGATTAAGCGTTGCTTAGCAACAAATGAGTTGAACGTAAGGACAACTTTCACCTACTCCAAGTTGCGCGCCGCTACCAAGTTACAGTTTCAATGAAGCCATAATAGATATTGTAGCTTCTCAAAAAATGCTGAAGAAACGATCCGAACACTGTTATTAAGGAAACACATTTTCGCTGTTAGTGAATGTGCACACAACTATACACATTGTTCGTTTTCTATGGACTTTGGTCAGGAGTATTTCAACAACTTTTGTTAATTATAGATATCAATAGTAGTAATTCGTAAAGGTAAAATGTCAGATAGAGTTACAAATTGAAACACTGGGCAAAGTATTGTAAATGTAATAAAGACTAAGACTGTTCGCTCTAACTAGCAGTTACCAAATGCTCTAGCAGTTACCAAATGGGTCCTGGTCACTAGATTGAGCTGCAGGTGTAGAAATGTTTTTTCTCAGGTTATCAGAGCCCCCTATCCACATTACACCGGATAAATTTGAAAACCGCTTTTCACTCTGAAAACGCATCAAATGTTTTCTGTTCACACTACGCCAGAGAAATTCGAAAACGCAACAATCACTGGTCACTTTGGATCTGTGTCTAGGAAACTCGGCCATGGAATTCACATGGTTGTCGTGACGTTATCGTTTTCGAAAAGCTCCGTTTTCGTGACGGATTAGTGTGGACGGTAGGTCTAACCGTAGAAATAAAGCTGCGTTTTCAAATTCTCCGGCTTAGTGTGGACCGAGTCTCAAAATTAAAGAGAACAGTGCCTGATTCCTACGGTAGTCAGGATCTGTCTCACTCCGTGCTCTGAATTCAGCCTATCATTTACTGAAGTAGACCCAATAGGCGACGTTGTAGACAACAAAGGCCAGTGGAAACAAGGCACGTGATGCCTTGTCTATTTTGTCAGCAATCCTCTCCCTCTTTTTGTTTTTGGCGTCCCTTTTGTTATGGAGTGACATGTCATCCACCACTGCTTTGTTAGCTTTGGCCGCGCGGTAAACCATTTCAAGGTCATTATCGGGTACTCCGCCGTACACGTCATCTGAAGTAGTTCTGGTTTCTGCCTTCGAGCCAACTGCGCATTTTACTGATGTGGATATCCTCGTCATGAGAGGAACGTCGTGTTTCTGGAATAAGAACAAAAACGTAAAATTACTGAGTGCACAAAATGTTGCTTTCGCAGTAAACTTGTCTATTAACGAATAAGACTAAGGCCCAGGTCAAACGTCGAACTTGACATGAGACAATTTGAGTCGATCGAAATGGGTAAAGCTCGACTATTGGGTCAAACGTTGAGCTTTATTCGAATTTAGATCGAAAAACATGAACTTAATTCTCTCAGTTTAGTTCGTCTCATGTGAAGTTGAACGTTTGAGCTGGGCCCAAGACCATACATGCATTTCCAAAATCGATTCACGATTGATATAACTATGATTATAAGGATTGCAAGCACCCATCTCACATATTTCACCACTGAATTTTTTTTTTCTCGATATGACACAAAATTAAAAGCAATCTTGTTTTGGAGGTTTGATAACAGATCTATACAAATATATTGTGAACACTACACTGGTACGAACTTATTTGCATAACATTGGTTATATATGCCTCACATCTTTTCTTTCTGATCGAGGGTGTACCAATCGCAGACTTACAGGAGGGACCGAAGGGAGGAGTTTGGTCCCCACCCCCTAATCCGTCATACATTAAAAAATTAAGCACAGGGGTTTCAAAAATGAAAACATCTTGGTCGCTGATACTAGGAAATGTAACAGCTTGAGAAGGTGAAAGTAATTTAATTACCGTAAACTTAATCTGTTCCTCGTCTTGTTTGGCGCTCGATTCAAAGAGAAACACGATCGTGCATTCAATTAACGTCAGAAACACAAAACTGAATGACACCAGCAGATACCAATCGAGAGCCTTTGGGTAGCTGACTTTAGGCAAGTTACCATTGAGAGATCCAAGAAGAAACATAATAGTTAAAATGGAGGTGATTCCCAGGGTCATTCTATTTCCCATGTCATCTTTGTCCATCCAGAAGACAATCCAGCTTAGGACTACAACAAATATGTCTGGAAAGTAGACTTGAATAAGGTAATAGCCGATGCGTCGTTCAAATGAGAATGTTGCTGTCATAGTTGAATAATTCCCTAAAGGAAAATGTTTATATTAATCAGAAGTATAAGTAGGGTGGAGCTCAAATAAGGAAGTCGGTGAACCAAGAAGTCCAATTGCCACCTTATTACATCCATTTTGAAATCGCAGAATTTGATCGTTCAAAACAGGATTTTGGTCAGTACCAGTATTTTATCGATCCAGTAGCATGTTTGTTAAAAAATCAGAACTGGAAACGCTTTTACATCTCAAAACAGAAAACAAAACGAGCCTTGAAATCTGGTTTTGTTTTCCATTCTCATGGGCTTGGAAAAAAATGCCATTTAGAAGAAGTTGCACTGCCTAAAGCCTGTCAGATTGCAAAGATCACCAGTGATTTCAAAATGGATGTAATAAATGGATATAGGGCCAAACGGTTTGACGAATGAATGAATAAAAATCAAATTGAAGGTATGGAAAAGTGGTAGTGATAGCGAGAAGGGGGTTATGCCACAAGTGTTTTAACTGACCTGAGGTAAACATATCTATGTCTGATTCTAATTTGGAGCCTTTGTATTCAAACTGAGCCATTTCTTTGTGTTCAACGGAAACTTCAGTCTTTCCAGGAACCCACATGAAAATCACGTCCTCAGTAGTATGTCCGTCTGCGTATGGAAACACAAACAAGCTCAGTTTCTATAGATGCACTGTAATTATTTCAAAATAGAATGGGATTCTTAATGGTCATCAGCCAGGTTTCTCATTGAATTTTATATTAGCCAAGTACTTGTTTGAGTTTGAGGCCTGAAGTCAGCTGCGGATGGGTCTTCATAAGACTTTGACCAATCAGGTGTCTCTTCTAAAATAGCCTCGCAGTATGACCACGGGCTAAACTTAGATTGAAAAAAAAAAAAAAATTGAAAAAGATTATCATTGGAAGAGGCCCATGTATGGGGGATGTGTTCTTTTAGATCATAATCTCTTGGTGTTCATCAGTGTAGGAAAAACTGTGATTGCTCAGGGAAAAAATATAGAATAAACAGAAATACCTACATCTGGTTTGCAATGTATTTCATACTGAGTTATTGCGAATAAAATTTCTGAAAATTACAAGATTTTATGGAAAGGAATTGTTCAAGAAGTAACTTAAGGTAGATTTTACTATCCATATCATAGGCTTTCCGTTCAAGACTCTCTCTCTCTTTCTCCATGTGAATATCATTTTGTTACAGTTCATAAACACTTCAACCAGAGATAACAAGTTCCTAAATGCTTTGAGTCGATACCTTACTTGGCATAGAGATTAATGGTTGGATGTGTAAGGTATTTGATTTTACAGCTTTGATTTCAGAAGTTTGTTGACGTCTGGTAAAAACCGTCAATATTGATCCAGCCATTACTACACCATGATCGACAAAGTTGACCACTCCTGTAAGGCAACTGGCACATTTGACATGTGTTTAGAGGGTCCGTTTGTCTCCCGGCCTACAGTCTGGCAACTCTCTCCTCCGCAGAGGCCTCTTCCGTGGTGCTTTGCCCCTGTAGGTACCCCTACACGGTAACCCCTAGTAAGCCTCTGCGGAGGAAAGAGGTCTGAGAAGACTGATTAGACAGAATTAATCATTACCTGATCAAGAAAATAAACTAGCATTTTAATAAGGTCCATGGTATCACTTACAACTTCCAAACTTAAGAGAGCACTTCTGTGAGTCCAGAGGGAAATCCTCCAAGTCCATAATGCACGAGGCGAGCAAACTTAGCCTGTGATAAGCGTGACGTGAAACTAATGGTAAATGTTAGTCTTTACTTTTATTTTATCTAGATCAATAGAGTGGTTTTCAGTTGAGTGTCGAAAGTGATCAGGTTTTGGTTTTACTACGGTTTGAGATTGGCTGAGCAGTGTAATTGGTAAGGTATTGGTTTGGTTTTGGTTTTACGACATTCAAATGAAAACCACTCTATTTATTCAGGGGCATTCAATTTAGCATTATTTATAAATAAAGCCCTGATACAACATAGTTTAAACAAAAACACAGACAACATAAAAGTACTAGGTGTAATCTTAAATCAATCGAACTATGTAATAGAAATCGGTGGCCGTGATCGTAACAGGTCAAGTCACATTGCAAAAAGTAATGCAGTAAATAAATATAATTAAAAAATGAAAGTCTTCTTGAGTACGCTCACAAACTCAAGTGTACATGAACTAGAGATTTACACACTATGGCAATTTTTTGAGACAACTTCGCTTCGGAATTTAAGGTGGTTGTGCACCAATTTTCATAAATTGTTTAACGCATTCCCAAGATGCCAGTTTGGTCCACTGGACAAAAAATAAAGATATTTTCCAGTTATCTTCCTTAATAAAGCCAAACTTCCCTTGCTCTCTTTAACGTTTCCTTGAGAACTTATGTCTACGTGACGTGTATGTCAATTTGTTCCTTGGCAAATAATCTAAGTATACTTAAACTGTTCTTTATCAGTATCATCGATCTAGTTGTGGTAAAATGCAGTAATATTAAACACGAAAGACCGTGTTGAACCACATATCTAAATACCGGCAAGATTGTTGACGCACAGGGAAGTATTTTTGACGAACTTCGAGGTGTTTGGAAATGTGGTCAAACATTGTCCGGCTTGAGTGTTTGATATATATTCTCAATCAAAACTAAAACTAAGGAGATAACGGAGAAATAAAATCGATGCTAATTGAGATCAGATATCCAAACACCGTCAAGTTAATGATTGCCTTTGTTTAAACTCGATGAATTATTAATGTGTTTGAGGTGCCAGCTTAACTAAGCAAAAAAACCATTATTTTTGCGAAAGCATTGGTTTCATGGAAAAGTTTAAACCTCACCCTCTGCTGTATGTTATCTTGCCATTGGAATCTATTTTGACGTTGCTGTGGGTTTCTTCGTCTGGCATCATCATGTTTGATTCACGTGCGTTATAACAGTAGGGATCTGGGACCCAAATGTTGTCGATGTCACCTCCTTTTATGGTAATGGTACGGTTTAGTTTTCCGGCCAGACGTGAATCTGTCCAGTGCTGGTGGAAATAGGCGTACACCCTGTACTCCTAAATAAAATAAAATAAAGTAAGAATAAAAATAAAAATACTACAACTACTACTACTGCTGCTGCTGCTGCTGATAATGATGATAATAATAATAATAATAATAATAATAATAATAATAATAATAATAATAATAAAATCACATCGTTTCCATGGGAAAGCTAGATATTACTCTGTAGTTCTAAATTACCGCGACTGCCTTTGGACACAACACCACATTGCAGTCTGAAGTGATATGAACGTTGAATTGAATTTAAAACGAGTTAAGGTATCATTATGACAGGTATATATGACAGATCAACAAACCTAACTTTCACAAATGGAAACTTTCCAGCTCTTAATGGTATCAGATCTTCAGCTTAGTGTCACTAAGAGGTTATTTATGAAATTCTCTCAAATTTCTGTTTTCTTTTGCCTCAATTAAAAGTCGCATCGTCGCAAATTGCATAGCAGGTGGTTTGGCGGGAAAGAGCGCCGAGAGCGATAATAAAACGAGCGTGAGGCGCCAGGTTGATAGCGAGGTGTAATTCGCATTCCCCCGGCTAGGCTAAGCTGCCTTTACTGCAGGCTACTTCGCCTATGTTTCAGTCACGTGTTAAATTCGCGTGCTGGTCCATGAGGTTTACTTACTTCTTTCTTCAAATTAAAGCGAGATTTCTCGCAATGAAAATTGTAATCGTTCGTCAGTAATGCGAATATTACCGTTAATTGAGAATAAAATTTATCATGAAAGAAATCAATTTAGGGATCTGAAAACGATAAAATGATACATATATACATACCATATTAGCCTCTTCAATGTTGCCAAAAGATTCGACAGTCAAAGAACATTGCACGACCGTAGGTTTGCCGCTTTCTAAATAAAAAAAAAAAAACTTTCACCTCTTCAATGCATTCTTTATTACTGATAAATAGAGAATTCTGTCAAAGTCTCGATAGTAAGTTCTATTGGTAGTTTTAATCAACCTTGTGTGAGAAATTTACCCGCAGCAGTCATATGCATTTTAATCAGCTGCAACTTAGTCGAAACAAATGATAGAATTTGCCTATATTGAATGCAAGATCTGTACTCACCAAAATCAGGTCTTAAGGCTTTGTCGTAGTCGGCGAAAAGCTTTGAAATCACATCGCCATTAGATCTGTACATGTAAGAAGCAATTCAAAGCGTTTGTTAAGTTTTACGATGGTGTACGCTTGGCAAATTAAGCAAAAGAGTTTCAACTCAGGATTGAAAATGAAATTAAAATACTTTAACTATCCACACAAGCTAAAATTTAAAATATACTTACAATCCAGGGCATGCTGTTAACAGAAGAGTGACCTTGATGAGGAGTAAAGGACTCTGTGCCGAAAAATATTTCATTGTTCCCTAGAAAGGCAGTTACATATTTAGAAGCTAAATTTAATTTCAGACACAACTTCTGCCTCCTCGTCAAGTTTGTTAAGGATGTCACTTGGGGAAAAGCTAGAGGGGTTCTACTAATTATATTATGATTTTCAACCGACTATCTTTGGTCTGTAAAGATCTTTGCTAAATAAGTAAAATACACTCCAACAAGCATTTTGATGATCGTGAAAAAGTTCAATAAATTTCGGAGGAGAAAAGACATCGTTAAATGCAATAAAACTAAAGCTGCGCTTTGTGACATAATCTTTTGAGAAATAGTTTTGTTAGGTTGTCAAAAGGATGATGCAGCCTTTTCAAAAATAAAAGAGTTAATAGGAAATCGTCATCACGGCAGCTTTATAAATTTAAATATGAATGCTTTATAAGTAAACTAATTGTTATACTGAGGTGTATATTGACGGGGAGTTAATTTTATTTTGCTTTTTCACCCTGCGTTGACAATAATGCTAGCCATGAGGTCTATGAACTTGATATCGTTTCGTTTGTTTAGTACAGTGGTATCAAAATTTAAATAAGCATTTTTATCACCAAAAAGAATTTGGAAATTGTATTGGAGTTTTTCCGATAACAAAATCGAGAAGAGAATGGCGATAGAGTAAAGATGTAAGACTAGC